CCTCTGTTTTGACTGTCTCTCTTGGGTCGCGCTGTGTATGTGTGTGTTTTTCTGGCACAGAGGTCAGAGCATGAGCAGAGTGGCATCCCTGCCTCCAATCTGGACCTGCTGGGTGACACTCCATCCTCCGTCTGCCTCATTTGTATTCCAGCAGAGCCAAAAATGGAAAGCAAATCAGGATTTATATTTCTGCCCCCTAATATAAATCATTGCAATGTGGTAATGCATTCAGTTCACATCACCATCACACTATATATGTGTAAAAAAAAAAAAGTGCTGAAGAAAGTTTTAAATCAAAATAAAATGCAGCCCAGGTCCGTTTAGCTTTTTCCTACCATTTGCTGACTGACAGCAGAGCCCGTTTTTGAATCCCGTTCAATAGAAGAAGCATAGTGCAAATGAAAGAGGCGGAGAGGAGGTCAGTGCAGGGTGAGCTGAAGAGAAGAATGCACAATAGCCTTCTGAAAATTTAATAAAACTCACGGAAATGTTTCAGATATTTTCTGATTCTTGTGTTTCTGTACCTGTCAGGGCTCCAATTAAGGAAAAAGAAAGTTAACCATTTTATCTCTGCACATAGTGCACGCACCGCAGGTCGAGGTATTCCTTTATTTTACTTAAAATGATCTCAGCAGAGAAGAATACATGCTGTTTTCTTCCAATTATCATTTTCAGAGCTACTAATTTTGATGTACTATCTTGTCATTATGAGACAATGGGCTTGTGATTAACTGACCTTTTGCTAGTCATAAGAAAATTGTATTACAATATTTAAAAGTATTTTAATTATAATGCATGCTTTTTGGATTGATTACCACAGTCTCTAACAGCGGTTGAACTTTAAACTTTCATATTATTTATAGTGTGTTTTAAGTCATTTAAGTGTTCTGCAGTAGCCCGACTGACAAAGTGGATTCCATTTTAGGATTGCTGTAGTCCAAAAAAAGAGATTTCTGTCTGTAGTCATATATATATTTGGCAGTGAGACTCCATCAGTAAATAAGTGGAGGAATGTTTGCTCACTCTTCTTTGCGATGTTGCTTCAGTTCACTGAGTTTTGCACTTATTCCTCCCTGCACAGCTCTCTTAAAGTCCCACTTTTACTGGGCCACTGCAGCAGCTCGATTCTTCTCTTGTTCATTTATTCTGTCGTAGATGTACTGCTGTGACTGGGATCATTGTCCTGTCACATCACCCAGGTTAGGGCCAAGCCTCGAGGTTACTTTTGTATACAGAGGAAGGAGCTTTTGGTTGACTTGGTGACTCCAAAATGCCCAAATCATCACCCTTCCATCATGCTGGCAGCTGGTATGAGGTGTTCATGCAGATATGATGTGGTGCTATGGTGGAGATGGGTAGCAAAGTGGTTTGCAGATGCACAATAGGTGTAAAGCAACCTAAATATTGCTGAGCTGGCATTGGGATTAATGCTACGTCCACACTAGCCCGGATAAATTTGAAAACGTATACGTCTGAAAACGCTTCGCATCCACACTATCGTTTTCAGACGTTTTCACAGAGTTTTTCATCCACATTGAAATGGCTGAAAAAATTCGACCTGCCTCATATCTGTCTGCCACTTTTTAAATTTTCGGCTCTTTGAAACATCGCGGCAAAATGTTGAGGAAAAGCACCGAGTTTTTTAAATGGACTAACAATGAGGTGGAGCTGTTGCTGCGAGTAACACAAAAATACAAAGTTGCAAAAGAGATTTAAAAAATTTTAAGAAAAGCTATCTGAGCAAGCAGACTGATACAAAACAACTGCTGTGTAATGCCCTCCGCTATCTTAGTTTAATTGGTCACATGACTGCATCACATAACTAAAATGTGTCATTGTTTTTGAAAAGGCTCTGGGTTCGCTGTCCACACTACAACGCGACCGAAAACGCCGTCTCAGTGTGGACGGAAGGCCAAAACGGAGAGAAAAAGTTGCGTTTTCAAACGAAAACACATTAGTGTGGACCTAAATGTACCGGGATTGTGACTGAGGTTGACTTCATGGTCTCCCTGAACTAACACAATGTTTAGAATACACTAAATTATCAAAGTCACACTTTAATGTTCATTCCTGAAACATATCTACATTTACCTGCATTTATAAATGAGCCAAAATTTTATTAAAGAGCCAAAATTCACAAGCGTAAACAAAAAGTAAAAGGTAAAAACAAACGTTTTGGGGTTTGTTTTTACCTTGAATGCATCACAGTAACTATTTAATCACTGTTTATCGTATAAGCCTGTCCACGTGAGTTTTAAAAATATGAGGATTCATAGAGCATCTCAGCTTCAGCCCCTTGAATGGTTTTTGGTCATAGGAAGTGTAGATTGCCGTTTGGGAATAACTTGAACTTGGAAATGTGAGTCACTCTGTTGTGTGTCTGTTTCTTGGGGAAGAGGCTGTATCTTCTGTTGGACTGCTGCAGGATTTATCATCATCCACACACACGTGTCGAACAAAAGCCTCCAAATAAAAACATTTTAAAAAACAGAATTTGTCTGATTTGTAGCTAAACCTCAGTTGCTGTCGTTCCTTCAAGATTTAATCCGTCGCTTTGGGTTATTCAGACGCCAGGTTTCCTTATTCTCCACGTCATCTCGCAGCTCTGTGCGCTTTAGAAATAAAAAGCACTTTTTGTGTGTGTGTGTGTGTGTGTGTGTGTGTGTGTGTGTGTGTGTGTGTGTGTGTGTGTGTGTGTGTGTGTGTGTGTGTGTGTGTGTGTGTGTGTGT